AAAAAAAAAGAAATGTACTCATTATCTTGCCCATGTAATTGTAACCCCTCTGTATTTTCACAATAAAAAAAATAGTTCATATACTAAAAAAAAAAAAAGAGAGAGATGAGCAGATAAAAAAAATATGTGGTACATACACATAGTAGAATATTATTCAGCCATACAGGTGAATAAATCTAATCATTTGTAGCAAAATGGATGAAATTACTGAGCATTTTATTAAGTGAAATAAGCCTGACAGAGAGACTGTATGTTTTCTTTCATACATGGAAGCTAAACAAAATTGACCCAAATACAAAATAGTCATTACTGGAGGTTGGGAAAGGACTCGGGGGAGAGGGGTAGTAGATAAATGGAAATTGTATTTCATCATCAGTATATACTGAACACATGTACTGAAATATCACAGTGAACAACACTGATATGCACAATAATGACATTGAATAAGAGGGTGGGAGCAGATACCAGTGGCTCACACCTATAATCATAGCTACTTGGGAGGCTGAGATTGGGAAAACCACAGGTTGAATCCAGCCCAGGCAGAAAAACTCACGATACCTCTTTTCAACCCATAACTGGGCTCAGTGGTATGCCTGTCATGCTAGAGCTGTGTGGGAGGCTGACATCAGGAGCACACAGTAAGAAAGCAAATGCAGCAGGGGAATTAGCTCTTCTATGGTGCCAGATGGTGTAGGGTTGTACAACACATTAAAAAAAAATCATAATTCTCTTTTCATTAAATTTCATAAACAAAATGTCCAGGCATGGGAGTACATGCCTACATGAAGTAGCTGAAGCTAAAAGACTGAGTTCAAGGCCAACCTGGGCCCCATATCAAAACCCTATCTCAAAAAAACAAAAAGTCTGGTGCCAGTGGCTCATGCTTATAATGCTAGCTACTCAGCAAGCTGTGATCTGAAGATCTTAGTTTGCAGCCAGCCCAGGCAAAAAAGTTTGAATGACTTTTATCTCCAGTTATACAGCAAAAAGCCAAAAGTAGACATATAGCTCAAGTGGAAGAATGCCAGCTTTGAGGGAAATAACTAAGGGACAGTGCCTAGGCCCTGAATTCAAACCCAGTACTGGCACACAAGCACCTGTGTGTGTGTGTGTGTACACACACATGCACGCACACATACGCACACACACACACACACATACATACACACACACACACACACACACACGAAATAGAAGAAGCCCCAAGCTTCTGAATTTAAACCCAATACTGGCACACAAGCACCTGTGTGCGTGTGCACGCACGCACGCACGCACGCACACACACACACACACACGAAATAGAAGAAGCCCCAAGCTTGGTGGAGAGGTGTTAGTGACTTCAGATTAATTCAGCCTTCCATGGCTGTCTACTCCTATTAAACTCATTTTACTAATCACAGGATAGAGTCTTTTCTTTTTGCTGGTCCTAGGGCTTGAATTCAAGGCCTAGGCTCTGTCCATGATAATCGGTGCTAACGGTTAGTACTCTATCACTTGAGACACCGCGCCACTTCTGGATTTTTCTGTTTATGTGGTACTAAGGAATCAAATCCAGGTCTTCATACATGCTAGGCAAGCAGTCTTACCACTAAGCCACATTCTCAGACCTTGTGAGTCATTTTTTGAGCTGTCAGTACCATTTCAATTTGGAAGCCCATGATTCTTCTGTACTTCCCAGAGAAAGTCACAAGACAGGCTTCTCAAAAGAAAAAAAAAAAAAAAAAGGAGAGGAGAGGTCTGAAGTCTACTGTCTCTAATGCCGGGGACAGATTGATTTAAGGGTGACTACAATAGTACCTGCAAAATTGCCAGGCTGGGTATAAAGCCTGGAACTTGCTCCTTCATCTGAGTGACTTGGTTCTTTAGTCTCTCCCTTATTTGCCTAGAAGAAAAGAGAAAGTTGGAGTTAACACTTCATGACTCAAACAAAAATAAGTGAGGGCTATCAGATGCATTTCTCTTTGAAACAAAACACTTTCTCTCAATAGCTCTTACCTGGTCCCTTTTTTTTAAAATTTTATTTTATTT